CAATCTAAACTAAGTCCAATAGGAAACAAAAGTCAAACTATAAACCAGTCCAAAATTAAACGGGTTAAAGAATATATATATATATATAGGTCTAATAGTTAAAACAAAAAATTGTTAATTTGTTTAGAAAAAAATAAAATAAATTGATTTATCCAAAAAAATAAAATAAAATTGTGTTTTTATTTAGTTTTTCGGTTCTTGGTCTAGAATCGAGAATCGAACCAAACTTATCGGTTCTCGATTCAGATATTCGTTCGGGTTTTTAATTTAGGAAAACTCGTTCGGTTCGGTTTCGGTTCAAATATTTTGCCTAGCCCTACATGGAGCTCGGATAATTGTTCACAAAGAATCTCTAACAAGATTCGTTGATGGGCTTTTCGGTAATAATATTTTTTATGCCTCTCATGAAGAATTGTCACCATGGCAACCAATGAGGCTCGCACTACATGTCATCCCACACCCCGAAGTGTTGAGGTGAAGTGGTTCATATATATATTCGATCATGGCGTCAAAGTGTTGTACGTCGAAATTTATGAGGAGGAACAACACGCTATTAAGATAGTGTATCGCTTCTGGCAACTCGCCTTCCAATTGCAGGGTGCCACATCCGTGCCCTGTTTTTGGGCCTGGCTTTGAGCCTGGCCCAATAGCACGGCTCATTAAGATATTATCACATCGTCTCGCCCCATTAACTAAGGAGATTTTTTATACAAAAATCTATCTATAATAAAATCTTTACACGGTTGATTGATGTGACCTTTATATAATCGATATTAAAAAGTGAAGTCAAAAAATCTACTCGTCATATTATCACATTGTCTGGCCCCATTAACTAAGGAGATTTTTTATACAAAAATCTATGTATAATAAATTTTTTACACGATCGATATGACGTTTGTATAATATATATCAAAAAGTCAAATCAAATAAAAAAATCTACTCGTCAGAGAGCATTAAATGCCCATCCACCTAGGAGTAATTGATTAATACTTAGGAGGGGACACTTCAACTAGCAGATGAGGCCATGTGCATGTCCATCTAAAGGTCCAAAATTCACCTCTTTCTTTATATATATTTACATTTAGTGCCATTTTGAAGGTAACATAATTCCAACCACTATAGATATATATTTTTTCACTCCCCATATCACTATTATATCGATTTTTCGTAGATCTCATTGTCTTGAAAATAGCCCATGCCATATAGTATATATGCATCATTTTTCAGTTCAATAGCCTGACTATATAAATAGATTTATGAGAAATGGTCACTTTCTCTGTCCATAAAATTAAATGGCCACTCTTTACAAATATTATGAAAATGGTTTCTTCGAATAAAAAGTGCCAAATATACTCTTAAGATAGATTCACGCGTGATATTCATATGGTGGCACTTCATATTGTTGCAAAGATAGAGAATTGTCGTGAAAGGTGATTGTTGGGCAACTATGTGTCTGACATTGTGCTCTTTCAAATAGTTCAGTGCGCACTTCAAAAAGGTATTATTATTCAAGGACTATTCATAGTTAATATCAGTGAAGGAGGGATGTGGAGGCTAGTAGAGTCCATGATCCCACTGAAATTTGAGGAAAAAAATCTGTTTTGATTATCATTTGCATAAAATATTTTGATCAAATATAAGTTTAATTTTCAAAATGATATTTGAATTTAGATCATATTTTGACTAATTTAAAACATTTTTCAAAAGTTCACATTTTTAAAAATATTCAGGTGGGACCAAATAGGGTCAAAACGAGAAAATTGGCCGGACCAGTAGGGAGTCGACCGATGAGGGTCAACTGATGGGAATATAACGGTTTGAAATTTTAAAATTCTGAATTATGACTTTTCTTTCCAACTACTATATAGTTCCGATCGAATGGACCATCATCCGAACTCACAGAAAGTTTTGCGAATTGTCCTTTATAAATATCTTTACATATCTTTACTTTTGCATTCATTAAAAGGTCTTTCAAATGCGTTTTAAGGGAGAATTACTTCGAGAAAGTTTTTAAGCTTGCATTGCATTTATCTCTTCAACTCCTTCATATTCAAAAACTTTGATTGATTGAATCAAATTCTAAATTTCAAAAAATCATTTTACTATCTCTTGGTTAGTCATTCTTAGGCTATCAATTGATATCAGGGCAAGTTGCTCAATTTTAAATTAAGACTTTACAATTTTGAGCAATGGCTAACCTAAATTTTCAAAATCTTGAGGACCTTTTACAAATCGTCCTCCTTTCTTTGATGACTCTCATTATAATTATTGGAAAGTTAAAAAGATAATATATGTTCAATCAATAAATTATAACATTTAAGAGGTTATTGAATTTGCTCCTTATGAGTTTATAAAAGTTATTAAAGTTGATGGTCAACCGTACCAAACTATTTCAAAACTCAGAGAGGAGTATGATAATGAGGATAAACGAAAATTGTCTTTAAATGTTAGAGCAAAAAATCTTTGTGTTTTATATAGAAATAAATTTAATCGTATTAATATATGTAATTCCACTTATGATATTTGGTACGCTTTAGAAATCACTTATATTGGTACTAGTAAAGTGAAAGAAATTAATATCAATCTTTTGATTAAGGATTTTGAAAATTTCTTTATGAACAAGGTGAACATATTGTTCATATGATTATTCATTTTACCGATATTGTAAATGGTTTTGAAGGCCTTAATCGAAAATTAATAACGATGAACTTGTGAAATTTTTTTTATAAAACAAGATTTATATTTTTTCTGACAAAATACCTAAACAAATGTACATATGTTTCATACCATCCCTTTGTTAAAGCCCCATCTTCTTAAAAAAATACATTTTGTAATAGTGATTTTTTGAAAAATATGTAATTAAAAAGTAATAAAAAATTTTGGGTTTATGTGTAAAATTATTTTATTGGAATAATGTGCACTTGAAAATGAATTTGTGAAAAAATGAGTTTAAATAATAAGATCAAATGGGGGTATGTATTTCAAATGAAATTATGTTCAAATGTCATCTGCTTCCTCAAGCATCAAGTTCCCCATAACTACACAAAGTGCTCTTTTCATCATTTTGTGGGTGTGATTCATCACCAGAAGAAAATACATGGACATTATTTGTGTTCTCTATCTATGAAAATACATCGAGAAAGTTCACAATTCCAGATGATCATCTATGAAAGGCGATTCAGTAATCATTTCCTCGGCCTCCTCTAATAGTCCTGCTTGACTTAACATACTTACCATACAAGAATAGTGCCTACGCCCGGGCTCAAACCATTTTCCTTCATAGAATTCCAAAGGAAGTTGCCTTTGTCCACCAAGCCACAATGGCTACAAGCAGCAAGTAGAGATATAAACGTTACTTGATCTGGTTTCATGCCTCCTCTCGACATTTCGTTATCAACTAGAAAAGCCTTGTCCGCCTTCTCATGGTGACCATAACCTCCAATCATTGAGTTCCAGCACTTCAAATCACGCTTTGGCAAAAGGCAAAATATGGATTCAGCCGCTTGGCGTTCTCCACTTTTAGTGTACATATCGACCATGCTTCCGCAAACAGTCATTTCAGAGCCGTTTCCTATTTTTACAGCTTGGGCGTGAATCATCTCACCTTATCTCTCAGTTGCAAGATCAGCACATGCACCTAAAGCGTCACTAAGTGCAAAGCTCTCAAGCTTATAGCCATTGAGTGAAGAACTTAATAGCACTCTCACCATCACCTATTCCACTATGCCAAACAACCATGTCAGTCATCCTTCAGCAAAATTGAGTAGAAAATCTTCTGAGCAGAATCAATCTCCCCATTGCTGAAATACATGGATATCAATGTGCTCCCAACATAGACACTCACAAATCGCACCTTCTCAATTTGAGCATGGAGTGGTTTTCCGTAATCTAGAGCTGGAAATGCTCCTATTCCAGATATAACTGTTGCAAAAGTATATTCATCCAATTTAGCTAAAGACAGTCGACACAGATGAACATACATATTTACTGCCTTCTCTCCATCTCCGGTTTCTGAATACCCGGTTACCATTGAATTCCATGAAACCAAATCCAGATTCTCAATTCTCCTAAAAACGTGATATGCTCGTAAATGTCAATCCATTTGGCACGAGCCCCTCATTTCTCAACTGTGTAAACACCTAAAAGGCCAAATGTTCATGGTGAGGACAACGAGAATAGGTGGAAATTAGCGCATTGTATGAGACAATGTTTCTTTGACGCATTTTGTCGAACACAAGTCGACGGTCCACAAAGGAACCGCATTTAGCGTACTTAGAGAGGATGTTGTTGTGTAAGTACGAGTTTTGGAAATTGTACGTGCTGAAGTTAGGACAATTGCGTGAAGCTGACGGGCTTGCCGGAGTGAGGTTGTGGTGGTGCATTTTTTGATGAGTAGGGTGGCTATGGCAGAGTCTTCGTGTGTGATGGTGGCCTTACCCGCCAAAATGAAGCACTTTCTTTTTCAAAGTTCAATTTTCTTTCATAAGCAATTTTAATGTACAGGGAAAGTGCATAGATATGTTTACCGAACGTCACTTGACAATATTTCATTAGAATTTGCACAAAAAAATAGTTAAAATCGTTGTTGTCATCTCAACCTCCGTAAAAGTATTATTTTTGCTTAAAAATGTCTCTACATTTCCCCTATACGAGTATCATTTTTGTTCTTTCAATTAGGTCATGCTACACCGAGTGATTTGACCTAAACTTGAAACGACTCGAGTAGTCGTGTCACAGTTACTTTTTTAGGGTTTTACTCCAAAAAAAAAGTCATTTTCCATAGATCCATTTTTAAAAAACCTAAAAAGATGGTCTGAATTATAAAGTCCAATGATCATAACACTTGAGATGATCCCTACTTGAAAAGACGGAGAGAATACCTCTTGTTGCGACAAATTGACTTTTTTTCTAGTTTGGTGATCTTGGTGCTAACCGTTCCTATCTTAGTCTATTGGTAACATATAGGTTGGTCAATGTGTGGTTGAAGATATGTCAGCGGTGGAGACCTAGAGAGTTTTGAAGTCAACAAGAGAACAAATTTGAAGATGATGATGATTGGAAGGCAAAGGAAGAAACACAAAGAGCCATTTTTGTATATATTGAGGTGCATAGTGCTCATCGTGATCTAGGAATCCTAGAATTGATGGGCCACGATAAGGGAATTATACACAGACATCCTTTGCCAATGGACAAATTGATATATGTTTGATTCTAGACGTAAATTTCAACTTGAATAGCCTTGATGATGCATTGAGTAAATTGGAGGATTGTTTTGAGACAGAATTTATGTGCCTTCACTCCACGTCCGTAGCTTTCTACGTGTCGTATTTGCCCTTAATTTCAAGATATCATGATCGAGTGTTCTTCGAGAAAATAGGAATCAATCGGATATTTTGGAAGAAAATCTACCAAACGCTCTCACTCTAGTTCATCTGAATTTGTAGAATCAAACAAATGTGGTAGAACTTATATTTCAGAATAGGTTATTGTAATTACAGGGTATTCAATGAGTATACAGTGCAAGATTTGGGGTCGAATCTTTGTCAATAAGAGGAGAATGATGGAGCCGAAAATATCCCCAATCAAGTCAACTCTTATTTCTATGTTCTTTGATTAGGTTGTAGGATTTTCTTTTCTTGAGATTACTACTTACACTTTATGGGGGGTTGTTTTTTAAGTAAATAAACTGCTTGGAGCTTTTTGTCAAATTATTGATTGTTTTCGAATACTACACGAATCAACGAATCGTACTTTCGTGTATTGTTCATACTCTTGTGCTTGCATCAACGTCCTAGATCTATTTTGGTTTCCAACGGCTTGACAAGTGACTCTTTAAGTATTCGACATGCAAGAGATCAATGTGATATAAAGTTTTAACTTTCAAGATAAAATATTAATTTTAATTTTCAGTTTTTTTTAGTCTTTGTTTCAGTTTTTAACATAAAATTAAGGGATAATTGCTGAAAAAGCTCCAAACCTTTAAAATACTAGCAGGCTTTTCTCAAATTTTTTATTTGTTGTGGCCGTCATTTCTAATATTTCCAAACGTTGCAAGCAAAACCCTTCTGAACAGTTTCCATCCACAATTCTGTCGGTTAACCACAAATTTAAGTTTGATCACGTTTTTAATATTTTAAAAAGAGGCAAAAGCGTAACTTTCTATTTATCATATTAAATAATTAAACTAATTAAATTTTAAAAAAATTGTCTTCTTCCTCTCACCCCCATGCCCATGCCCACCCTCGACATCAAACCCAAAATTAGCCACCCGACCACCGCCACTATTACCTCTACCTCCACCAACCACATGCTACCGACTACCTCTATAGTGTTGCTAATTCAAACGGAAAAGATGTGATGTAGAAATGTGGTGCCATAAATTATTAGTTAGCACATGTATCTCACTCGTGTAATTGTTTACCATTTGGGGAGAGTGTTTTAAATTTTATAGCTCAATCAACGCTATTGCATCGAAAAAATTCAAGTTAAAATATTAGTGCTTACTTTTTATCTGCTTTTCAAAAAAAAAAAGGGTTAGTTTTTCACTTTTACTGTGTCCATTTGAGAATAGGGTGGAAGATGGAAAATGAAAGGGTTTGACAGGAAGTTGCTCAATGATGAAGTTAAGATGGAGAAAGCACTTAACTGATTCATTTATGAATTGACTGTTTTATGGTTCTTTGTTGGATAAAGTAAAGAAGAATTTTAGAACAAAAATCTTCTTTTTACATTGTGTTAAAAGCGCAAAACAATTTTAAAGCTCAATCACAGATCTCAACGAGAGGTGGAATTGGTTAGTGGAGGTGGAGGTGGCACTGGTGGTGATCGAGTGACCGATTTTGAGTTTGAGGTGGGGTGGGGGAGGAAGAAGATGGTTTTTTTTTTTCCTTATTTCTTATTTTTTTTAAAAAAAAATTAATTAGTTTGATTATTTAATGTGATAAATAGAAAGTTACTCTTTTGTCCCTTTTTAAAATATTAAAAATGTTGTCAAAGATAAATTTTTAGTCAACTCATGGAATTGTGGATGGAAACTGTCCAAATGGCTTCATCTGCAATATTTGAAAAGGTTATGGGTGGCAACTAGAACAAATCAAAGGTTTGAGGAAAGTCTGTTAGTATTTCAAAAGTTCGGGACTTTTGCTGCAATTATCCCTAAAATTAAAACCAATAATTTTAGAATAATTCACTATTCAAAATCAATTTTTCCCCCAAAAATCTCTACCAAACAAGCACTAAGTGGATTAATTTTTCATTATTGTGGGGTTGATTTTTTCCCTATAAAAGGGATTGCTCTTCACAACTTGGGAAAACAACTCGAAAGAATATTCTTTGTACATTTTATACTATTTCGACAACTCGATGAGAGACTCGTTTTTTATTTCCCCATGATCGTGCCCATAGATGGAGAATCGATTGTGATCCACATGTGTTTTATCTTAGAGTTGTGTAGTGTCGAAAGTATTTGCACGAAAGGAAGGCAACATGATTTTAGGACAACGTCCCTGATGTATATTGAATGACGTACCTTGTAAGACAAGGCACAGAGCCATGATATATAGACAACTAATGTATACTGTAATTTCAATGAATTGGAATTTGCCCAGCCTAATTGATGATGGTGATGATGATAATATAGTCTTTAAAATATTTAATGGAACTTAGAGGGATTGAAAATAATTCTATTCAAGGGGTATGCCTAGAGCCTTCAAGTACACTTAGACTTACAGGAGATCTATATTAATCATTTGATCATGTGAATTCACATCTTTGATGATTTCAGATGTCTTTGATGACATTATTTACCATCTGGTTTGCCCTTTTGCCCCATTATCAGATTTACAGTTTTGATTCTTCTTCCCTATATGAGTTTCGATAAATCTTACCTCACGCAGGAATTACTTTTGGTAGTGATCCTATATTTCAATTTTAACTTAATCGTGAAGAATCTATACAGGTGCTGTGTTGGCAGCACTTGATTAGCAGCTTTTTTTTTTTTTTTTCTATCACAAGGAAAAAAACAAATCGTAGGGTGTTCCTTAAGATGTATCATATTAGAAAATAATTAGAGCGATGCTTTTTCGAGAAAGATTATGTAATGAAAGGGAAGTTACATTTAAAATTTTAAAAATAAAGGTATGTGTTATCTTAAGTAACAGGATACTTTTATCAAATATGAATATGATGAAGTTGAGTTTCACTCAAGCCTCTTTAAGAGCCTTCTTGGTTATAGGATAAAATGTGGCAAATAAAAGAATAGGTACTTAGTAGTCTTTGTTTTCTTTAAACCTTCCTTACAACCAATTTGCATATTTGAGAATTTAATTGTCTAAGGTTATAATTGTCATGAGTGAATTGAATTGGTTCTGTCTTGCAGTCCGTTTCACTCATTTCTTTGACATGTAACCAAATGATATGATCTCTTGATCTTTGATTTATGATCTAGTTTGCAAATGTGATTATTCTTTAGCATTATGATCAATATTTTACGAATGTGTTCAAAGAAGAATTTGTTAATGTACTGGTTGACGGAAGTCAAGAAAGTGTGGGGTTGATA